CTCAAACAACTTAACACCAAAAACATAAAAAGATTGGATATCCTGGAAGTAAGAAATCTGTCAACAATTGGAATATGTGGCTTCGCTGTATCTGTTCTGATGATAATAACAATATTCCTGCTGAGAGGAAAAATTCATAAACCTACCAGAAAAACCATCGCTACCCCAGATGAGACAGAGATGACAGAAAATGGGGAAGGTCCTGAAGTAAAACAACCTACCACTTCTAAGGACTCCAAAGCTTCAAGCATCTACAACATACATTCGTTCTAGACAATCGGGACGATTGTATTTAAGAGGGGAGGAGTTAACACCACAAATATTCAAATCTCACAAATGTATCATCATGGACAGCAACGACAACAACAACAGCAATAACTAAATCAAATGCGCGTGTTATAATGCTGACATGCAGTTTCCCACAGAATGACCAGAAGGTATTCCAGACGACACACGAGCCGGTGTCCAATAACAATACAGGTGTGGGAACATGCAAAGTGCAGTAACGGTGCAGTGCGATGAGTATAAGTTTAGGGTAGTTTTAGTTATTATTCGCTTTGTAACTATGAATCTCAAATAAAACGGATGTTGCTCAAAAGCGCTAGCTTGCGAGACAACATATTTTTTTTAATAAAAACTTACAAATAAAGTTTTAATTTATATATATATATATATTTATATATATTATTATATATATATATATATATATATATATATATATTTATATATATTATTTATATATATATATATATATATATATATATATATATATATATATATATATATATATATATATATATATATATATATATATATATATATATATATATATTTCCCTGAATGTCGTTGTTATTACGGCTGTGGGCAACAAATATAACAAATCGGATGAACAATATATATGGGAGCTATACCTATATCTGAACCGATCTTCGCCAAATTTGACATATTACTTTCTACACTCAATTCTGTCGTAAGTGCTAAATGTTATCCCATTTGGACAAATATTAGGCGTTTGGTGCACAATAAAAAGTAAATCGGACGAAGTTATATATGGGAGCTTTATCCAAATCTGAACTGATCTCGATAAAATTTAGCAGAGGTATTTCGGAACTGTATTTGATATATTTCCCCAAATATTGTTGTTACAGAGTGCAAAAATAACAAATCGGATGAACAATTAATATGGGAGCTATAGCTAAATCTGAACCGATTTCGATCAAATTTGGCATACTATATCAGGCCCAATTTGGTTGTATGTGCAAAATTCTATACTATTCGGGCTGACATTACTCGTTTGTTGAACAATAAAAGGCAAATCGGACGAAGATATATATGGGAGCTATGTCTAAATTTTTACCGATTAGCTCCAATTTCAATACGGTTCGTCCTTGGACCAAACAAATAATTTGCACAAAATTTCATCTGGATAGGGCAATAAAAGCGAACTGTACTTTGTTTACAAAAATACATGGACAGACGGATGGACTAAATCGAACTAAATCGACTCATAACGCGATTCTATGCAGATCATCAAAAGGTACTATGTGTCTATCTCGTTTCCTTTTGCCTGTTACAAACAAATGCACAAAGACATAATACCCTGACCACCTTGTGGTGTAGGGTACAAATATAAACAAAACAGGCATTTAAAATTATGTTAATGTCGAGTATTTACTTTTATGGGGTGCCTAAAAATAAGCAAATTAGCTTTCTAAACAAATAGTATAGTTTTTCATATATTTGCCATATATAAGTATGATATAAGCGAAATGGATTTCAAACATGGGAACAAAAAATACTTTTAGCAAATTTATCGGGATTGGACTGCAACTAAGTATTCTAATGTATGAGCTAGAAATCTGAAATTTTAAAAATTCGAGGAATTAAATTTTGAAATCTGGTCTTAAAATACAGAATATAGATGATATATTTGCAGAACTCCTAACAAATGCGGTTCAAATTCCAAAATAAACAACAAAAATATTGGAAAGTTTCAGTCGGTTTTCCAGCAGATATATATCCTCAGCATCCGACCACGTAATAATGTTTTTGAAGGACTTACCCAACGACAGAATCTACACCTCCATAATTTTTAAAACCCTAAACCATAATATGGGAGTATGTTAGGTTTGTTATTCATTTTGCAACGAAGTGTAAATTTAGACCCACAAAGTGTATATATATTCTTGATCAACATAACATTCTATATCAACACTGTCCGTCCCCTGTCTTTTCGTCTGTGGAAATTACTCTAGCTTCCAAACGAAATGAAGTAGGTTAATACCATTTTATTCAGAAGTGTGTTAGGTCTGCAGAACTTTTGGTATTGAAAATGTGCTATATAGGATTGATATAGGTCAAATATAAAGGTACCTCCCTGCATTCGGCATTTTGATGATTTTAGCGACATTATTTAAAGGAATTGTATCAAATTTCGTATTAAAGTTCCTACAGTTCCTACATTATTCACCGGATTTGCATCAAATTTCGTATTTGATATTTTTACCCAATGGGTACTACATCGTACGACAGAAAATTGCATATGCAGGTCCTCATCTTCGTGCAATGGTACCTCCCTATTTTGATGATTCTAACGACATTATTCACTGGAATTGCTTTAAGTTTCGAATTTGAATATCTTAACGGACGATGACAAATATGGCGTCTTCGGGCGAATATAACGGTAACTCCCGATATTCAGTATGTTTATAATTTTTGGAGAATGTTTCAATCGATTGTTTTTTTTTTTTTTTCAAAGTTTGGAAATTTCTTCTAAATGTTAGCCAAACGTGCATTTTCACTTGTATATCTCAATCTTAGTAAAAAAATTGCAATACGCGAAATATTAAAAGAGCTGCATGAAACCGTATGAAAAGAGAAAGTGAAGGTAATGTTATTCGATTGGTAAATCAAAATTCCAAAAGGGGTTTAGGTTCTCAGACCAAACCTTTTTTAGGCCCATTACATATAGGCTCAACAATAAACAAAGTCCCCAAATTTATTGCTCCATACTTTGTTAAATTTAAGATAGACCTTTAACATTTCATACATGTCTTTAGATTGTGTGTAGAATCATCTGGCTTTATATTAAATTCTGCAAAGTACAGAGCAAATATGTGAGCCCTTTGTGTGTGGTCAAGACTTAATATATAATAGGCCCTAAAAAGTTTGGCCTAGGAACCTAAACCCCCTTTGGGATTTTGATGCACTAATCGAATACTACCACCTTAACCTAGAGATTCCCACCCAATTTTTGAATTTTTAATATTCTTAAAAGAAATATGTTACAATTTTCTACATGACCTCGTCCTCTTTGCCTCTTTTTTTTTTTTTTTTTTTGGGTAATTGAAATAAAATTAGTTAAAATACAAGAAATGCGTGGTTTTGTTTAAAAGCCCCAATTGTGTAATTCTTCATAAATCATGTTTTTCATATTCAGAAAAAGGTGAAGGTCTATTAATGGCTCGATTCACCTGACATGCCAATTTTAACAAGCGAAAAAGTTGTAAGTTCGGCCGTACCCTCCACCATTTGTAACGAATTTGACGATTTTCAAAAAATAAAATCCGTTTAAATTTTTTTTTTTAAATCTTAAAAATACCGAATGTAGCCGCTATATTAGGGTCTATACGACTATGTGAACCTGTATAGGAAAGTTTTTTCTTAAACCATTACAATATTTAAATGCGAAACCTGAAAAAAATCGGTGAATAATGTCGCTAAAACCGTCTAAATACGGAATATAGGGAGGTACCGTTATATTGGGGCTATACGAAGACGTAGTCCTGCACAGACAATCTCCAGCCATAGGCTGTAGCATCCATTATGAACATCAAATAACAAATTTGAAACAATTCCGGTAAATAATGCCGCTAAAATCATCAAAATACCGAACCGTTAAATGGCGGCTATATCAAAATGTGGACCTAATTGGCTCATTTTCAATACCAAAAGTCCTGCAGACATAATATACATTTGAGTAAAATTTTATCAATCTATTTCATTTCATTCGGAAGCTAGAATGATTTCCAAAGACGGACGGACATCGCTAAATCGTCATAGAATTTTATGCTGATCAAGAATATAAATACTTTGTGGGTTCTAAAATGTATATTTCGAGGTGTTACAAGCGGAATGAAAAACTCAATATACCCTCCATACTATGGTGGAGAGTGGAAAGAGAATTGTTTTGTTTACAACAGGGTGTAAGGTTGAATCCCTCACCTAATAACCTAAAAAGCATATAAGGGACATGTGTTTTTTTAATATTCTCCAACACATGTTGTACGTTCTTCCCCCTTAATAACGCTTGTAGCATTATTATATTTTCACATGAGTTGTCTATAAACAATTTTCTTCGATTATTATTTCATTATTGTATTCAGTTAAAATTGCATTTCAAAAAGGGGGTTTTATTACATTTCAAACAAAAAAAAAAAAAAAAACAAAAACGCTTGTTATAGGTCAATAAAGTCTATAATGGCTGCTTGTGTTGAATAAAGGCTCGAACCACAACAGAAGAGTAGTAAAATGTACATACATAAAAAAAAACATATTCCCATGAAATGTACATACATATTTACAGACATACATTTTTACTGTTTTCTTTTTTTTTTCTTTGAAATTTCATAAATATGTGTAAAATACTGATGATTGTTATCGTTTGTTTGTTTTCATTTTTTTCTCTCTCTCATCGTCGTCTTCTTTTTGCCACATGCCTGGCGTTTTGGTCTTTTGTTATGTTTGTCTGTTTATGATGCCGCACAATTTTCCATGAAAATCCATAAACAATTGCGGGGCATGCAACAATTTTTAACATTGAAAAATGGACGAATTCATAAACGAACACATGGCGGCGGCGGTGGTGGCGACTATGGCATCTGCAACGAACACCATTGCAAAATAAATAAATAAATGAATGAATGGACTCTCTCTCTCCGGGTTTTGAATAACAACAACGAAAACGACAAAAACAACAACATCATCATTACTTATACTAGGAAACGTGTTTGTAATTGCGGCAATAATACTGGAGCGCAACTTACAGAATGTGGCCAATTATTTAGTTGTTTCATTGGCGGTGGCCGATTTATTTGTTGCATGTCTGGTAATGCCACTGGGAGCTGTTTATGAGGTAAGTAATCCCCAAATAATTGATGTTAATTCTAATTTAATTATATTATAACAATGTTAATTAAATACCAGTCAAACTAAAATGATTGACGAACTAAAACAACATAAGTGGTGGTTGCTAGGGGGTAGCAGCCTTAATGACAGACATTACAGAAAACGCTAGCTATTATGTGGGGAAATTTAAAAGAGACCAACATGAAATTCAGAATAATACTTTTTGACAGACAATCAGGAGGACGATTAAATTGTTAATTCTATTTGGGCTTAAATGATTTAAATTATGTCTTAAAGGCAACATAAAACCAGAGATATAAACAGGAAGAACTCGAACTGCAAAAAAGTAAGCAACAGCTATATGCATGCGGGACCGATACAACACTATAAAATATTGGAGGGGGATTCCCTAAGTCCAAATCTATTTTATTTGGTTTTTTGAGATAATACATTCCTGTTAAAATATTACCTTTGGCTCACCTCTATTTATGTCATCTGTTGTGCTAATAGGTATAGAAAAAAATCACATAAATCAGTCAAGTTGAGGTCCATTTTTCCAGCTATTTATTTTTCACTGACCATCCAAAATGCTAGAACTTTGGCCTGTCCTATACTCTAACCTCATGCTAAATTCCGTGTCGACTGATTTTTAATTGCGACCTGTGTAGCGACTAAAAAATAAGGAAGTTTTTCAGATTTTTGTCCGTGTCAAGCCCTAAATATTATGTGGACTTCTTCATAAGCAAGCTTACACTCTGCCCCGTCTTTCGTGAGGATCGGACGATAACCTGTATATGATACTCCCAACACATAGTGCTATACTAGTGAGATTGGTTGAAGAATGCATTGAAAGAATCTAGTTAGAACCATCCAAATACCGAATATCTATGGGCAGCGTTATATGGAAATATTAGCTATGTTTTGACACATGTCGTGGTTCCCATTATGATCTACAAATACCGAATTTCAATCAAATTCATTAAAATTAAAAAAATGCTTTAAATCGTCAATATATCCAATATCCGAAGGTATCTTTAAATGGGGGTTACTTGCAAAATACTTCTCAATTCGTTCGATCCAGAATACATATGCTTTGTAGAGTCGATAGTGAGTATTTCGAGGAATGGCAAACGGAATGTCCCTCCATACAATGGTGAAGTGTATAAAAATATCGCAAAGTATCCAAAATACAAATTTTACACAATTCTGTAAAATGTGTAGGCTACAATCCAAATATTCAATTTTATCTAATTCCCTTAGAAAATGTGGCTTAATTCGTCACAAATCCCAATAATGGGAGGTACAATTATATAGGGCTTTACAAAACGTCGACCTGTATAAACAATGTTCTGCTGCAGAATATAAAAAACAATACAAACTCTTAATATCGAAAAAAATCCCTAGAAACCGAGGCTAAAATCATCAAAATACCGAATATGGAAATGTACAATTATATGGGGACTATAGGTAAACATGGGCCTATATAGGAAATATTCTGATATACGAGGTAAACCCAAATACAAACTTTCAATACAAAATTTTAAATTATTCCGTTTGAAAATGTGGCTTTAATCAAAATTTCAAATATCGACATGTACAATTATATGGGGGATATACGGAAACTTTGACCGATATAGCTCATCTTCGAACTTGACCTGACTGCAGACAAAAGAAAACTCTGTGCAAAATGTTAACTTCCTACACATACCGTTGGGACTCTAGCGTGATTACAACAGACGGACGGATCATCTCCAAAAGTTCGCTTCTATTCTGACCATAATCCCACCTCCATTCTAAATTTCGTGAGGATTGGAAATTAATTGTGACTTGTAGCGCGACTTAGCACGGCAAAATTGGGAAACCTATGCTCCTGCACATAGGATATCCCCAACACATGGGATATTCGGGTATGATTACGGAATATCTTTAAATCCAAAACATTGGATTTTTAAAATTAATTCTAAGGCTAGTCATTAATTTTCAGAATATTCACAAGGGTTAAAAGGAAGACGAATATATGGAAGCAAATATAATCTGTTTTTGGCTGGGCAATTTTTATTATCGTTTTTAGAAAAAATATACAATTATATATTTTTTGTTTCTTTCTATTTTGAAATTCAGATAAGTGAAGGCTGGATACTAGGCCCAGAATTATGTGATATTTGGACTTCTTGTGATGTCCTTTGCTGTACAGCGTCTATACTGCATTTGGTGGCAATAGCAACAGATAGGTAAGTCATTAAATTGAATCCCAAAAAAATCAAATATTCCCATACCTAATTTAACGAATTTATATTTTTTAAGTTTCGCGCCTTTTCACCCAAATTAATTTTTAATAGCTTACACGCTCACATTTGCCATCGAATAGGGGCAGAACCCATCTTAAGTTCACATTCGACGGTAACCTTGTTAATATTTTTACCTGATGCGTTGAAATTAATTGAATGAGAAAACACTTGCTACGCAAGAACTCATTACCAGCTACACATGTCCCTCTTATTATATATTAATAAAATAACGAGTATTATACGTTATTTTTACGACAAGTGACTGTAAAGCTTGAATAGCGATTATTGACCTCTAAAGAACGAGTACACATTTTATGAAGAAAATAATGATAATAAAAAGACGACAGATGCTTTAGATACTTACATTTAAATTTTCAATAAGACTGACGCACAAACACGAGCAATGGATTATAACAAGCTACTTCTGAAACGAATGCAGAACTTAGGTACATTTTAATAAGGTTCACTCATTTGAGAAATACAATTATTTTGGAATGTATTCAAAGTGCAACCCAAAAAAAAATTAAATTTATTAGCATGTATGTTATGCCCATTATTGATCAGAATAATATCCACAAAATAATTAGTATGTACATTAAATATAGTACTCGTAAGCAATTTTTTATAAAATTAAAATTTATTTGTTTAATCATTCCATGTTCATTTACACGCCCAAAGAACATAATTACTTTAATTCTTTAATAGAAAACCGCAGTCGAAGTAAAACCTAGTAGCCGAAACGATAAATTTTCATTAAAAACATTTTGCGTCTTAAACATGTATGCAACCCTCTTCAACGATATTGTTACCCAGCAAAACATTTAATACTCATTTCCAGAAATTGTTTGTATACTTTCAACTTATTAGTTATGCGGAAGGTAGTACGTTTTATTTGGGCTGACCCAAAGTAACATAAAACGTGTGTACACATTGTAAAGACCCAAGTCCTTTTTGAAACTATATAAAGTTATTTTTCACAAAAAAAAAAAAAAAAAAAAAAAAAAAAACAAGTAAAAAAGGTGTAAGTTCGGCCGGGTCGAACTTTGAATACCCTTGAGCATTTAGCTGTAGTATCCATTACGAACTGCATATACCAAATTTGAAACAATTCCGGTGAATAATGTTGCTAAAATCAAAAAAATACCGAATATCAGGAGGTACCGAAGAAGTGGACTTCCACACACGATTTTCTCCTTAGGCTGCAGTATGTATTTCGAACTTCAAATACCAAATTTGAAACAATTCCGATGAATATTGTCGCTAAAATCATAAAAATACCGAATACTGGGATGTACCGTTATATATGGGGGCTATACCAAAACGTGAACCTACATGGCCCATTTTCAATACCAAAAGTCCTGCAGACATAATATATATTTGAGTAAAATTTTATCAATCTACTTCAATTCGTTCGGAAGCTAGAGTGATTTCCACAGACGGCCAGACGGACGGACATCTCTAAATCGACATAGAATGTTATGCTGATCAAGAATATACGAACGGAACGACAAACTTAATGTACCATCCATGCTATAGTGGGCGGTATAAAAATGGGAATTGAATTTTAGGAATCTTCAAAATGTATTGCTGTCTGCCATTTTTATACCCTACACCACAAAGTGGTATTAGTAGTATCTCATTATATTCAATCAATCAACTTAGGTACATTGTGTAAGTAAACAAAAAGTCGCCGTTTTGTGTGAAAGATCTCGGCCAATATTGTAAAATGAACAACATTTAAACATTACAAATAATAATTTTGGTTTTTAGAAAAAAGTACTGCAAAAAAAAAAAAAAAAAAAACGCAAATAAAAATTGTCTGTTTATTAAATATAATTTGTACCAATTTCTTTAATGGACATTGTTTTTAGTTATAAATGCTAAGTAAAATTAGAATCATGATTTCACTGAGATTCGATCATTTTTGTTTTAATCAAATCACCAACTAAACTTAAATAATTCAAGTCGATCACATTAAATGTGGTGTCCGTTGGAATTGCAATTTTCGAATTTCGAAAAAAGGAAAGTTGTGCTGAATTGTGCTAGGCTTGTGCTCAATTGTGCCGAAATTTTTTTTTCGAAATTCGAAAAAATGTTTGAGATATTCGAAAAAAGATTTGTTTTTTCAAAAAAATCTGAGAGAATTGCAATTTTCGAATTTCGAAAAAATTAAAATTGTGCTGAGTCGTACTCGGTTTGTGCCCATTTGTGCAGTTAAAATTTTTTCGATATCTGTGTTTGTTTTCTCTTTCGAGACGAGCTTAATGATCTGAAATTTGCAGTGAAAAGGAAAGCCAGATAGACACTATCACACACTCACCACTATGCGACGCGTTTCGCCGTTGGTTAAGCGGCTCATCAAGCATATTTGGTGTGGATGATGGCTTACAAGGGCCGTTCTCTGGAAAGTAGTATATATTTCGAACTTATTGCAAATTAGCATATGCGAATTATACACTAGAAACTCTCCAGGTTCGACTCAAGTTCTATTGGCAGATCTTTTTTCACAGCAAAGTTTTGTTTTTGTATCTCTTACCAATTTCGAAAAAAGAAAGCGAAAATTTCAAAAAAAAAAAAAATTCAGAATTGCAATATTCGAATTTCGAAAAAATTAAAGTTTTACTGGGTCGTGCTTGATTTGTGCTAACTTGTGCCGTTTATTTTTTCTCAATATCTTCAACCGTTTTCAAGATATGGCAATTTCGAAAAAAAAACAGTAATTTTCAGAAAAATTGCTTTAATTTTTGTAAAAGTTCAAATATCGAGATGCGGTAAATTGTGCTGAGTTGTGCTCACTTAGCACAATTTTTCGTCCATACATAAGGAATTTCCACCTTTACTCGTTACTCGCTAAAAATTAAAAAGATGTATAACTTTTGTAATATGTGGAATTTTTCAAATCTGCAAGTTGTGCTGAATTGTGCTCACCTTACATTGGAATTTTGTATCTCTACTCGTTACTCGTTAAAATAGTAAAAATCAAAATCGCATATTTAGAAACAAGATATCGAAAAACTAAAAGTTGTGCTGATTTGTGCTAACCTAGCACAATTTTTCGTCCATACATTGAAAATTTGTATTTCCACTCGTTACTAGTTAAAATTGGAAAAAATACATATATAACGAAAAATTGCTGTAATTTTTTTAAAAAATCAAATATCGAGATGCGGTAAATTGTGCTGAGTTGTGCTCACTTAGCACTATTTTTTGTCCACTCATAACGAATTTCCACCTTTACTCGTTACTCTCTAAAAATTAAAAAATGTAACATGGAGAAGAAAGCGAGATAGACCCATAGTTACTATTGAGGATCTTCATAGAATCACTTTCTAAGTGAATTTATGCATGCTAGTCCGTCTATCCGTTCGTCTATCCATGTATTCTTGTGAAAAAAATACAGGTCGCATTTATTATCGGATTAAGATGAAATATTCCAAACATTATTTGTTGACCCTATAGAAATTGGTGAAAATCGGTTAAAATTTAAATATAGCTCCCATATATTCAACTGATTTCAAGTTATTTATGCACTAAGTGGCCAGTCTCAAACCAAATGACGTGAATTTTAGAAAAACCGACCGAATTCAGTCTAAAAGCAAGTACATGGAGTTTGGTGAAAATCGGTTCAGATGTAGCTATAGCTCCCATACAAATGTTTCATCCGGAAGGTCCTCACATTCGTAATATGCGCCCCACAACAATCATAATTGGTACCAAATATCAGATACAGCTCAGAAATACCTCTGCCAAATTGTTCAGATTTATATATAGCTCCTATATATATCTTTAACCGATTTCGGGTTAATTATACACCCAATGGCCAATATCAGTTCAATGACCTGAATTTTTGCAGTACATCAAATTTTGAGAAAATCGGTTCAGATATAACTTTAGCTCCCATATATATGTTTCATCCCATTTGGTGTTTTAGTCCCTCACATTCGTAATATCCATTCGACAACAATGATATTTAGTATCAGATATCTTATAGAGCTCTAAAATACCTCTTCCAAATTTTATCGAGATCGATTTGGATATAGCTCCCATATATATCTTAAACCGATTTCGGGTAATATGCATTCGAAAACAATGATATTTGGTACCAGATATTTTATGGAGCTCAGATTTACCTTTGCCAAATTTTGTCCAGAACGGCTACGATTTGGATATAGCTCCAAAATATCCTCAATCCGATTTCAGGTTTATTGTGCAACTAATGGTTAATATCAACGAAAATGGATTGAATTTCGGGAGGTACGTTTCCTCTTTTTGGAACACGGCTCCGACTCAGCTTGGCGAGATAGAAATATCAAGATATAACATCTTATGTGCAGACCCAATATTTCCCCCACGGTACAAAAGTATAAAACGTCTTCCAAATGTCCATTATTTTCAATATTTTTTAAGAAAGTTACCTCTCAACGATCGATCAATATCGAGGAAAAGGCACATTTTGTATTTTCGTGCACTTTATATACGAATTCTTTATGTACAATTATACTTATCGTAGATAAAGTCACACACAATATAAGTGAAAAAATACAAAGGTCGAGCGGGATCGAGCATATGACCACTATGTATATTGAGAGCTTCTCGTAGGAAGTAATTATTAATATATTATTTTTTTTAAGTAAATCATACAAACTATAACAGGCCTACGCACCAAGACTGGCCATCGTGCAAAATGTCCAGTCCAGGCAGGCCAGTCTTGGTGCGTAGGCCTGTAACATGGCTAGATATGGCAAATTTCGTACTAAAAGCGTTCGAAAAGTACTAAAATTTAATAAAATAATTAATATGTTTTATTGAACCGCGGAATAAGCTAGAAATCTGAAATTTGAAATGAGTCACTGATAGAGTGCAGGATAGATAGTATCAAAGATTTCTTTGAAATTTGAACTTTAAGGTTACGTAAAATTCTAAAATGGTACAATTTGGTATGA